ATCCAGATAAGTGAAGTTTTCTTATTGTTGTGCCGACGAATGTAATCTTCTAAGATTTATTTAAAGTATTTTCTTCTCCTAGGGGAGTCAGTGTAATGCTTAAACATGACTGTACAGTTTGAGGGTGAATCTCTGAAAAGTTAATCTTTGCTGAATGTTTTCTTATTTTGTTAAGCAAGACATTAATAGGCAAAGGGAGTGTTATAAAAATGACTATAAAATTGAAGAAGAATAAGTGATGCCTACATTTTTTGTAAGACCAGAAATCACACTTTAACCTAACATTCTGCGAAATGAAGTGAAAAGTAGGGTTTGACTGTTCAGTAGCAGTTGTGAATGTCTTTTATATCATGCAGTGTATACATATGATGTATAACGGATCTTGTTTTGAAATCTAACATTTAGTCCTTTTTCATATAAGTGCATTCAAAAGTGCAGTAAACTTTGTCAGTGTGTTTGAAGGTATTTCTCGCCTGTAGTTCGCAGTAGCCAACGTATTTTAGAAATAGAAGATAGTCTCAACAAGTGAAATCTGTTTCTCAATGCACCTTATATCATTTAACAGTTGAGGGCCGCGACTTTTCGAGCGTTTATTTAGGCATATACATAAATCACTTTTTTACCTTATTATTTTTCATACAGCTACTGAAAATATAAGAAACAACGAGATTTGTAGTACTTCATAAATGTGTTCCCTCTTATTCTACCTGTTCAAATTTATTCAAAACCAAACCGATTCATTCTTAGTTATGAAGTGAAAAAAAATGGGTTCACCGTCGACAACAAGAAACTATTAATAATGAATTTATAATGAGCAAAAATGTTGAATATTGAAAGTTGACGGGCGAAATGCTTATCATCTATGTACTCATTGATTTCTGTGAATTTTTTCCCATATGTAAATTGAATTATGCCCACCATGAAGAGAGATGTTCAGCTTAGTTTTCTATTCACTATTAACATTTCTCAAATCTGATATCTAAAATATTAGGAGTAACCGTCATTACATCTGTATTCAGTTAATCAATAATGCATGTAAATTATCAACAAATTACACTATATATGAATGAAGGAAAACACGAATTTTTAAAAGTTGATTTCATTACAAAATGATATCATTTATAAAATAACTGGAAAGTCATTTTGTTCCAGTATGGGAACTTTGACCAGTGGACACCAGAAATGAGGTTTAAGGTTTTTAGAGTAGAAAGCAGAATGACAACTGTGACTCCTAGTTTATTGAAGGTCCTTCATTTGATCTCTGATGAAGGTGACAGTATGTATTGCCGAAGATCATCAAATTAGAATTTGAATCTGATCATCAGTGAGACTCATTCTCTAAATGATATCACTTTCTGACAGAAGTTATCTTTAAGGCAATAAACCTTTACAAATCTAACTTACGAGCAAATACTTTTTATAGAAATTTGTTTCAAACCCATTAAAGAAAACAGAAATCACTAGTAATAAACCTACTGTTTAGATGTTTCTTTGTGAAAAATATATCATACTCCATTCTTCCATGTTTTACAGAAATATTTCTGCCCATCAGATTGATCACAGACTACTGGGTTTCAGTTTTCAGTTTCATATTACTAATAAAGCACATTGAGATTCAAAAGTCAATGTCCTTCAAGAGACTGTAATCAATACAATTGTCATTCAAATATTTCCGCAATGATTAAGAATACCGTTATATGACATAGGTAAAAGAATAATTGCTGAAATTCGCCCTTAAGCATTTGTCATCTGCCTTACTCTAGTTTAAGAAACTACACAGATTTAAGACAAAGTATCTAAGTATCACTTTCTCATCAAAATATTGTTCAGTAAATAATGCAGTAACACCTTGTGCTATTTTGATAATAGGGCACTGGCTAAAAATGACAAATTTCAAAATTAAATGTAAAATATATTCTGCGAAGCAAAAGAATGAAAGTAAATCTGATATAACTTTAAATCACTGTTTCACCCACTGTGATACCGACATATTTTCCAAGAATTCTTCGAACCATATATATGCCAGAAGAATAGTTATCGGCTTGTTGAAGCACAGAAACAGAAAGTAACTGATTACGAATTTACCACAATAATCTTACTGGGACTGCAGATTAACAAATTTTCCGCCTAGAATAAAATGGGTGTATTTTATTGTATATCTTTGAAAATACAGGACATATCCAGCATATATTATGATAGGTAAACTTGTCGGTAACTCAGGGCTATAAGATAATACCAGCATTTACCTTAGTTTTGAACACTGTATAAGTATTTAATAATGGGATCTTATTCAGTGACAAACTGCATTACTATCGGTTTCTTTTTATAAAAACAGTATTTTTGTGCGGTATCACTCTGAATAATCATCACTTTGAAATTATTTTCGATATCTCCTGCACTCAGACAACATAAAGAACTAGATTTGGATTCTCAACACAAATGTTAAGCCATTTATTCTATATTGGCCAGAAACTTGATGGGCACGTTATGAAAAGCAGGTGGTTTCAGACTTCTATCAACAGCTACCTTTTCTAGCGTCAGATTGAAGATCAGATGGGCAGAAACAACAAGAATCTCTGGGAATGAACGAATCAAGAACAATACTGCTCAACAAATACGTAGAAGAAAATAGAGATGGATTGGACATACACTGAAGAAGCCGTCGAGAGGAACAAAAGTGGGATACGATGAAATGGCTGCCCGAAGGTGACATAGACGACATCGTGTGGGGGAGGAGATGAGACTTGATGAGCAATCATGAGGCCAGCTAAAGAGAATTGCAGAGAACAGGACAAAATGAAGAAGTGTTGTTGAAGTCCTGTGCTTGACTCAGAACCAAAGGGAATAGCATTAACAATAATATAATACTAACACTGTGACCGAAACAAACGAAATAACTATGAAAGACGTGGAGCTTTGCATGTATATCTAAACAGAATAAACACTTGTAAAGTCTTTTGATCAATCCAAGTGAGAAAAGTCATTTGCTGACACCTACATATATGAATTCAGGTATTCTTATTCATAAAACTAGTCTGTAAATTTAACGTGGAACTGACAAAAATGTTATCAGAACTGGTATCTTCACGAAAATAAGAGAAATTAGCAGATGAAGCTCGACGGAGGATGATAGCGACATAACCAACTTCCACAAGTGATTGTGAGTGGATTGTTTACAAATGAGTGATGGGATACCAGTAACTGTTGCTTTATTTCTATTTATTCTTCAAAATATTATGATTTGTGAAACAGAATTAAATGTTTACTGAATATGAGCGAAAATTCCTGTAGCACTGTTATTTTTTATATTCTGCATATAATATATTTTTCAAATAAAACATAGCAGAACAGAATTAATTAAATCCATTATAACATTAAGACATAATTCATCACGAAACACTGATCAATACTCATTCACGGAAATGAATATATATATGTATATATATGTTTTCATTTTCTCCCCTTTTTTCTCTCTCTGTCTCTCCCTCGTTTTTGTCTTCAAAATGAAAAAAGGATATTACCTTAAAAAGAAAACCTATAATATTGTTTAGCATTAAGTAAAATGTCTAATGTTAACCTAACTAGAAATGCCAAATGTACAGTTAATTCACAATCAATCTTAGTGAACAATAAATTTAAGCCTGACTGATCACTTGATATATATATATTTTTTTAATTTCAAATTATCTTTAACTCTCGATTACATTCAATATGAGTGATACTTTCAACTACAGAACTGGTAACTCATTTTATAAGGTTATTATCCGTGTTAATGAAAAATAAAACACAATGGAAAATACAACAATATTAATATCCTCTCGCTTACAAGAGTAACAGTTTCAATTTGTCTTCGATTTTAATTCATACAGCTATGGATTGCTACAGGAGACAAAAACAGTTTCTTGATGTTTATTTTATTTTTATGATTCAATGTCACACTGACAAATCATGGTGTTGTTACACAGTCGAGCGAATTTTTATTTCGTTTCCTTATCGAAGTAATGATAAAAGGTTATTTTGTGGAATAACCGAGTATATAACAAAAAAAGGCAAAGACAGAACTCGTGTACCAGTCACCAACATCAACATTTTGACAATTTTTGTACGTGTAAGGAGAATATTTCTTGTCAGCTGTTATTACTCTGTTGATTTCATAGAGGAATAAAAGGCTTCAGGTCACTTTTTCCTGTTCAGTTCTTTTTATTTTGACACTGACGATTGCCAACGTTGGTTCCATTTCTTCCTCACACAATCTTCTCTATGTCATCTTTGAGCCCACGCCAAACCTATCGCTTCTTAATCAGATTTCACCCAGGAACCTGCTTGGTGTGTGTACTATATGTACTTCCCAAGAACTGCATTTAGAAATCAGTCACCAAAATCATGTAAACATCATCAATTTAGTTTTGTGTGAAAATCTGCTGTAGAAAATGTAAATGGTCCGTCTCAGCATTTTTACTAACTTAAAATTGTCGACTAAATAAGTTTATATATGTATACATAACTAGAAAGGCAATTTTCTGTTATTGGAATGCATAAAAGTGTTTTACGAATTCGATAAAGCACACCCAAGTCCTGTCAACAGCTGTTTACTCATCGTCTCAACAAACATGCCCAGTGTTTCATCTTCTAAAATGCTGTAGTAAAACCCAGTGATAGCAGATATTTACCTTTATATTTTCAAAATGAACCTGCGTTGTCTTAATTAATGTGGATAATCTTCGAGAAATGGATTACATTAAGTGATACCGTGGTATGAAGCTTTTGCAAATTAATGATAATATATATATGAGAAGTAGTCCTGATTAGGTGTCAGTTAAAGGTAAAAGACAGTGTTTTCTGCAGGTAATGGTCTATAGTCTTGAACACATAAGCAGACTGAATTTACAAACACACAATTTGTCAAGAAACGGCCTGAAATCATAAGCGCTCTCAAGTTTCCAGTCCCTTTAAACACTATAAAGTATATGCAAATGCATTCCAGTTTTTGTAAACCTCACTTATCATTACAATTGCGACAACTGCTGGATATTGGTGACAGGATTTCTTCACTGTAAATAATATAAGTGAGTGATACAGGAGATATTTCCAGAATAAGGCAAGATTATTCATTCACATTTGGATTTTGAAAAGATTTCTACGAAATTTAATTCTGCTATTACTAGTCTCTCTCCATCTATATTAACTGAAATTGTTTCTTTTTAAATAAAATATTTACACGACTAATGGTTTTTTTTTAAATTTATGTGTTGATTAGTTATTTTTTTTTAGTTTTGATTAAATTCCGTTTCCCTATTCATCAGTCATTGTACGACCACACATACACACGCTATTAGGGAAGTAAAAACCTACAGTGTGTGCATTATGTTACAAGATATGCCTACATTTAAAAAAATGAAAGAGAGAAATTCCACACAGCACTGTATCTTTCGCCTATTAAAAACTTTCTGCCAGTGGCTTTAGTAAGACCTTATTCTTTGAAATAAATTAAAATACGTGTAGTAAAAAACCATTTAACGTTATATATAGATATTTTGGTTGACTCAGCCTAACCGGAAGGAGAAGGATAGCATACATAGATTTACAAATCGATGTCAACAAGAGGAGTATTAGAAGTTAACAGGCTTTGTAAAGCTATCGCCTTTAATTTTAGTAATCTCCGGAGTTTCTGTTTGAGCCTACAAACAAAAAAGTGATTTCAGAAAGTCTTGCTTGAACTAATTAGACTTTTAACTGTTATAATATTGATATTGTAGTCAACTGTTCATGATATAAGGGCTGACCATATCTTAGCAAGTGCCATGATCACAGAATGAAGTTTGTAACAAAACGAAGTAAATAAGGAAGTATGTCAGCTTAAATTCAGATTATCTGAACGGGTTTTTCTTCAAGTAATTTGGTAGATGATGTCTAGCAGTGAGATTCACCATTAGGCATTATACACCAAATTACTTCTTGTCAATTCCTACACATCCTCGTACTAGGAGAAGACACATTAACAGAGGCTGAACATTTCGGTCAAACCAATCAACTGGAAAATCATAATTGACTTACAAACAAGCAATCGATTTAATTCAGTGAACAAAAACGAATACAGAAATAACCCCCTTGAATTCCATATTAGTTTGTTTATTAGGTATATCACACAGTGAAACAGTATTATTTACTGGATGACGTTTCGAACAAAATTTATTGTTCATAATCATATCATTTGTGATCACACGACTTTGACACTTGAGTTTTATAGTTTTCTTTGTTTGAAACGTCATCCAGTAAATAATACTGTTTCACTGTGTGATATACCTAATAAGCAAACTAATATGGAATTACTTACTACCACAGTGCCCAAGTTTTACACATATATTAACCCCCTTGAAATTGTAGTAAGCTTTTATTCTGCAGTTGAATAATAGCATAAAACTCAACAAACAAATATTGATTCTGTAACTGTTATGCGAATGAAGTTATTGCAGTTGATAGATGAAAGACATACTATATGATAGTCTTTTTAGCACTGTGAAATCATGCATCAATAACTAATTAGATAAGTTGAAGTGTCTCTGAATTCTAGAAACATGTATTTGGAGTGGTTGATACTGACCGAATGTGATCGGATTTTTCCTTTAACCAGATGGCCCATACTATAGATTTTATGAGAGGCTAGTTTATTCTTGTCGGCATATCCGAATAGTGTATTTTGAGTATTTTATTCCTTCTAGAAGTTTACATTTTTCATAAATATAGAAAGCGAAGTAGTGGACAAAAGTATTTTCAGTTTTTTTGAAGAGTCTTTCTGGCCTTTTATTTCCAATAGCAACTGAGCTATCGTAAAGACTTTTGTCCCCTGGCTACAATCTTTTACCTGGTTCCCAGATTTTATCACTCACATAAGTAAACTTAAAATACTCCCTTAAAACTCTCAATGAGCATCAGTTGATGTTTAATTATTACTATAAAACTAATTAAACATTTTACAATAAGGTCCGTTTATCTGATTACTAGGAATAGGTTCGGAAGTATCCTTTGTAAAACAGTATACAACAATACAAAAGTTGCAAACACCTCACCTAATAAACTAAGTCATTACGAATTTCAACTGCTTACTTTTTAGTTAAAAGCGTAAAATTAAAGGAAGCAACTTAAATGTATTAAAACTATTAACTTCTTCAAAAATTAATTGTAGACTATTATCAGTCTAAAAATTACGAAACACGAACAATATCTTTGCTTGCAAGCACTCATATAGCTTTAGGGTAAACTGTGCAACTGTGACAGTAGAAACATGCAATTATTGATCGACAACTTTACAGGTGAGTATCAGGCTAACATAATACTAAGGATGATGTTACACAACATGAAATGCCTGTCAATTATCACTTTAAAATCTCTAAAGTATATATATATATTTAAAAGAAATGCGAACTTCTCGTTTAAATTAAAGGTATGGATCATATACCATACATTGTATTAAACTGAAACACTCTCAGTATAACAAAATAACTTACTGGATTAACATGGAACACGAAGATGAATGTCATAAATAAATATGCTCCAGATTGTATAAACATGGAAAAAAAATAAGCAAATAAATAAATATTCTTAGTCTCATAAACATTCCACCATTTAGCCAATAAGAATTTAAATACATAAATTTAAATGGGTTTAACCAATCAAAATATCCCCTTAGTTATTTTTAAATGAGTCAAAAACATGGTAGAATTCACTGTCATTGTATTTGAAGTATGTACAGCATTCAAACTAGGACATCATATAGTGCGTAAAAGAGCATAACAGAGTGTTAGGGCGCACAATCAAAAAAAGTATATATATATATATGTATATTCAATAATTATAGCAATTTTATATGAGAATAGCTAAGCAGAAATGGTGACCTCTACTCTAGGGACCTGTATCTAATGTAAACAACACACTTTTGCATGTTGTACATATAAAATAATTACTGGCAACATTGTTCCCCTCAACGTGACAAAATAAAATTCATTTGAAATGAAGGTATAGTACATTCGATGCAATGAAAGCATCCACCTTCTCATAACTTCTTTAAGCCTAAATGACCCAGGATAAATAGGTTAGATAAACTATACCGAGTGAAAATTTGTTAGTTATACTGACGTCATAACAAAAGTCCTTCATCATAATTATATCAGTAAGTACAATTATCAGGATATTGACTTTTTCACTTGAGACTTAAACATACATCAATTAGAAATGTACATATCTATATTTACGAAAGTGGTACCTGAAAGCAGTGATACTTTAAGACAGTCATTATTTACAAACAGTAACAAATGCCGGCGACTGTAAGATCGCCTTACAACAGATTACCATCCAGTGCTTACAGAAATATCAAAATGTCTAATCACCTTTCACCTACAACTGCTCAGTTGCTGCCATAATATGACATTCACATAAAAACCTGGAATCTCGCTAGAATTTCAGTACTGAAAAAAAATGGAAAGGAATGATAAAAAATTTCAGGTCCCCATTTTATGTCTGTTGGCTACTACTGTACAGCCTGAAGAACATGGGTATTTACTGACATCTAAACTGGTCTCGGTTTATTCCCTTTGGTTCCGAGTGGAAGATAAGGCTTCAACAACACTTCTCCATTTCACCATGCTATCTGCAGCCTTTTCTTACCTGTTTCTCGACTGCCTGTAAGCTTCCACTTCATTCTACCACGATATCCTTCATGTCACTCTTAGACGCCCATTTCGTCGTCCCCCATTCGAATTCCAATCTAGGGACTAGCGTATGGTGTCATTCAACTGTCTCCCCAGTGTACGTCCAATCCATCATCATTTCCTTGTGTACATTTTTGAGCAAAATGTCGTTGATTATTTCGTTACCACAGCTCCTTTCTGCTTGATCCTTCTGACCACTGGGTTTTCAGTACTAATCCAGAGAATGAAGTTGTTGAAGAAGATGTGTAGTAACCTACTGGAAATGATATTCGTGACGCACCAAGTATCGAAACCGTATAGAAGCATTGACTTAACGTTATTTTTTGAAAATTTGGATCTGATTGCTTATGCTGATGAAATCAAAAATAAACATTAGGTCACATTTAGACCACCGTGAATTCTCACTCTATATTTCAAAATTTTCATAAAATAATTTATTTAAATTATTGACCTTTTAACCAATATATCTTCTCATGATTCGGCATTTTCACTCCAAACCACTTGATGTTTCAGAGTTTAAGTCCTTTATCCGTTGACTTATCCGTATTTAATAATACCTTTTTGGTGAAATGAAAATACTAGTGTAACAAGAATTCTTCGTAATTGATCATTATCATGATAAAGGCATTACTTATATCGTTCACTGGGAAAAGATTTTCCAAAACTAGCACGATGTTTTTAATTTCCTCACTACTCCTAATGATACAGAAAAATCACCACCAGAGAGAAGATAATTTTAGACACTTGTTTTACACTATATATGTGTGCCTTTGGTATCACACTTTTGAGCACATAAACGTGATTCATGCATACTAAGCAGTTATATTTGGAATTCTCCATACGTATTCGAACCTGAGCATGGATAAGTAAGTTTCAATAACACTTTATACTCCGAAAATGTGTATTGTGTAACGAGAGGTTAGTGCAGTATCGACAAGACATTTACAGTATAGAATTTTCAGTAAAAGACCGACTAAGAAATTCCGGATCAGTTCATTTAAAACCACAGCATGGTTACCAGGGAATGGTTACATGGAACGGTGATTGTGGCACAGCGATTAGGACGCTCGCCGACTCTGAACATCGTCCGGGGTTCGATCCCTGACTGACACACACCTGATATTAATGGTTGGCCTACTAAATCTGGGTTACCGGTTTCAAATGCTGAAAATTCCATACTTGTACCGAAATACTGTGTGGAATCAAGCTATTACAAAATAATAAAAAATAATAGCCGTTTTTGATTAAATAAATAACCATTCAAATATTCTATGTATTGGAATTTTACTGGTTTCAAAGTAAATTTTGTTACGGATTTCCAACAGCTGCAGAACCATGAAAAACCAGGTAGCACATGATTGCTACATGGTAGTTTGTTCGTCTTTTGACCTGTATATGCTGTATATAATCCCTAGTGGTGTTATGAAAGC